TGTTCAGAGATAGCAATGCATTTTCCTTACAGACTGTTTTGTCTGTCATTCTAACAAGAAGAAGGCGGTGGAAGTTGACGCTCTAGTCGAAACACGTCATTTATAACTTTTTCCACTTTCTCTGTTCACTTCTGTTTCGGACACTATTATAAATGTGACAAACACACACACACACACACACACACATATATATATATATATATATACACATATATATATATATATATATATATATAACTAGCAGTAGAGCCCGGCGTTGCCCGGGGATGTAACAGTAAGAGAGAGATCAAATATCGATCATCATAAAGACTGAAAAATAAAATTGACAACGATTATTGTTTAAGGTTGACGGACACGCATGTCTTAATTATTATTATTATTTTTTTTTTTACGAATTGGTCAAACCCAAACTCAAACAAAAACATTGTTTTCACTCGTTATGACTCTACCGATTGAATAGAATTTTATTATAAACAATTGTCTTGTAAATGAAATTTTTAAAGCATTCTGAATGTAAAAATAAAGAAAAAAGTGTGCAAGACAATAAAAAAACACTACCTGCCAAAAAAAAGTGAAGTTTTGTTGAAATCGGTTGAAAAATGTAGGAAATCCGATCCCATATATAAGTGAACACACACACGCACACAAACAAGCTGGGTTTTATAATAAGTATAACTCGATATGAGTTGTCCCCCTTCTATTCTTGCGATGAGCCTTAATCGTCTTTTCAAATTGATTTCGTGCAAAAACAACTGTGTTTTTCCAATTTTTGACAGAACCACCGCAAGTTAATTTTACGTAGTCCTGGGAAGTTTTGTTGAAATCGGTTGAAAAACGTAGGAAATCCGATCCAATATATAAACGTACAGACACACACACACAACCTGGGTTTTATAAGTATGATGATGCTCTGTGAAAAAAGTTTTCTACGCTTCATGACGAGGCAAGTTACAGAATCTGACACAAGGCCACAAGTTGGGGTGACCCAGTGAGAATCAAACTTATCAGTTATAATGGGCTGTCAGTCGAACTTGCTAAGTGTTGCTCCACAACGAGGAAGTTAGTCTGGTACAAGGCCAAAAATATGAAGCGTTTGAAGAGGCTCGAAATTATTACAAATGTAATGAAGTGTTGGGACGAGCTTAATAAAAACTGTTTCACGGTAATGCGTTTAAGCCATTTTATTTCTTTCTTCTTTCTTTTTTTTTAAATTGTTTGCCGAAATTTGAGCCTATCGCAGTATCGAATATCACAGAGCAATTAAACTAATCACGTGTTTTTATTGTTCACAATGTTTTTTGCTCATTTCAAATTAATTGAGTTAAAAGTCCTTGGCATTTCTTGCACTTTGTCTTCCAGGAAAAAGGACGCCTGGCGTAAAATGGTTGTTAAATATGTCGTCAAAAACAGTTGATTCTAAAAAGCATTGTGTCCTTGTGTTGAAATTAGTTGAACGTATTATTCACCGCAAACGAATATTTTGTTGAATGGTTAAATTGAGTAATCAAAGAATTTCTAGAAAATGTGTAAAGAAAAAATGAGAGAAAAAGGAATGTCTTTTTTGTTGTTGTTGTTTTTTTTTTTTGTTGTTTTTTGTTCTCTTTTTTTTTGCATTTTTTTTTATCATTTCACCCTGAGGAAGGCAGGAATGCCACTAGTACGCAGGGGTTTACAGAGGATAAAAATAAAAGAGAAGACTGCGAATAGGGAGGATTGAGGAAAGGACAAAAGATGAACGGGGTTCAAGAAGACAGAAGGTGGCGAATGATACTGCATTTAAATTTTTGAAGATTGTAGTTATCAGGTAAGCAAGTAAATGGATGGGAGTTCCACAGATAGGAAGTGCGGGAAAAGAAACTGTTGTAGTACAAGAGGCGGTTACATTTAGCTACATAAACAGTAAAAAGGTGGGACCTAAATGCCAATCTAGTAGCACGCTTAAATTCATGTAGTAGGTACACCAGGAAAAAGAAAAACACGCCAGAGCAGTAGCTATGAAAATATTGAGTTGGTGCATAATTATCAGGCATTTTTATAGATGAGTTATTTGTTAATAAACATTGCTGTTTTAGTTACTAATTTTTAATAAAAATACAGGATGTCCCAAAATAATGTATTACTCTTTGAATCGTTATAACTTATTCAATTTATGTATTTTGACTTGTAAATAAGATTCATACAAGAGAAAGAATACACATTTAAAGAATTTGAGAGTAAAATATACAAGAAACATAGAAACTTACATAGAAAATTAACTTTAATAAGATAAAAGCTGCTTGGGGCAATGGCAGAATGTTCATATAATGATGAGTTCACATCAAGTGCTCAAACTGGTTGCCGTTCTGTTCAATACACTTTTCATATCTTGAAGAAATAGACCTACAAACGTCCAGTATCCTTTCCTCTGGTATTTGAGCACATTCTTCTTCAATTGCTACTCTCATTTCAACAATAGTTTCAGACTTCCTGCTGTAAACGTTGTCTTTTAGAAAGCCCCACAAAAAGAAATCCAAGGGTGTCAAATCTGGTGATCTAGGGGGGTATTCAACTGACCCTCTTCTTCCAATCCATCTGTTTTGAATATTTTCATCCATATAAGTTCTCACATCACGCTAATGTATTATTAACTATTAATATTTAAAGAGTGTATACATTATTTTGGGACACCCTGTATTATTTGATTTTCAGGTTATAAAAATATCTGTCGATAATCTTATGCTCCGGAAAAATCATTTAAAAATGTTATTGTTGAATTGTTATGTTTCTTTTTTCATAATAAATATTGTTTAAAAAACGCCTGATAATTATGCACCAACCCAATATTTGTAGAAAAGGCAAAGGGAAGCCACGTTCTGTCTGTGATAATGTGGCTGAAGTCGGGATGCCTGGTCAGATTTGACTATATTACAGATCCTTTGGATTTTGTAAAAGCAGAAGCACCAGACCAGAAATGGCAAGAGTATTCAATTTATGGACGAACGGTAGGTTTGGAAATGTACAAGATGGATTCAGACCAGAAAAAAATTCTAACAGAATAACCCAACTTTCCTTACTGTAGATGACGCTGTTTATTCGATGTACTCTCTCCAATTCAGTGAAAAACGCTAGTTCTAGTTAAGACAGACAGAGAAAGAAAAGTGCACCAACTCCAAGACAATGTAGTAAAGGAAAGGCAGAAGAATGGACTATCTATCATACAAGGACAACAGAAACAGTCCAAGACACAAGCTATGAATTAAAAACGTCAAAATCAAGCCAGTACGAAAATTTATGCAGTGGGCATAACATCTGGTCTTCCGAAGCGATCACTCATCTAGGTACTGGCCAGGTTCGACGTTGCTTAACTTCGGTGATCGTGATGTGTCCCTAAGTCATACCACGCACACATCCAAGCTTACAGAACCTTCTAATCCAAAACTAATCTAAATCTACTTACTGACCAGGCTCGACGTTGCTTAACTTCGATGATCGTACGGGGAACAGTGTTTAAACACGATATGGCCGTAAGGCACACGACGCTCCCATCCAAGCTTATAGAACCTGCTTATCCAAAGCGGTTACCCATCTAGGTACTGTTCAGGCTCGACGTTGCTTATCTTCGATGATCGTACTGGAAACGGTGTTTAAACGCGATGGGACTGTAATGCATACCACGCACACATCCAAGCTTACAGAACCTGCTAATCTGAAACAGTTATTCATCTATGTACTGAACAGGCTCGACGTTGCTTAACTTCGGTGATCGTACGGGAAACAGTGTTTAAACGTAATGTGGCCGTATGGTATGCTACCCACACATTGAAGCTTACAGCGCCTGGTATTCTCAAGCGATTACCCATCTAGGTACTGATCTAGCTCGACGTTGCTTAACTTCGTTGATCGTACGAGATACCGGTGTTTAAACCTGATGTGACCGTAAGCTTCTGAGGCAATAGGAATGCGGTTCTATAGAGGAATGTTGCAAATACTATGGATAATCAGTGAGGACGAAAATGGTAACAGAATCAGAAAGATAGTTAAAATTTATCTGACAAAAATGAGGAATGAGTGCTTGAACAAGCTGACAGGACATATGGAAGTTCAGGAAGACAAAATTCTTGGAATCTTGCTCGGGTTGTAAATTAAAAATGGAGGATACCAAAATAAAACCAGTACCAAGATTTAAATATTAATTTTCCAAGCTTAGATGTGGCACAAGACTGAAATTATGAGGCACCCAGTTAGGACAGCATTCACTACTCAGTCTTAAACTTGCTGCCCATTACAATACGCCGAGGTGCCCTAAATGATTTTCTAAGCGCAGCCTAAATGTGGCACACGGTTGAGAGTGTGGAACACCCAGTCAGGATCGAACTCACTCTTCAGTTGTAACAGTTTTAGCAAGACAAGCTTGCTAACCATTACACTACAGCAAGGTGTCCGTAGGGAAATTTAAATATCTGAGGACGGATCGCGCTACACTGAAATCTGAAGGAGAATTGGGATATCGAAAGATGGCTTCCAAAAGCTAAGCAAAGTATTAAGAAACAGGAAAATGTCATTAGAAACACAGAATGTTGAACAACTATCTAATGTTAATCCTTCTATCTGCAAAAAGACTTCTGTCCAATTGCCTCGCAGATAAAGACGAGATAGCGACGAGGCAAAACTCATTGACCGAATCGTTTTTTAGTGCTTATGTCAAACCAGAAAAATATTTTTAGAATGTGAGAATTGTTTTTTGAGATAATAATGGTTTAAATCAGTGATACATGTCTTACTAATTAATCCATAGATGGGGGAGTAGAGGTGGATTCACACATTTCCCAAGGGTCTTTGCGCTTAAGTGAACATAGCGAACCCGACTGGAATTGGAACTCGGCTCACCGATTAATCATTCCAAACCGTAAGTCACACATCTAGGTACTGACAGGGGTCGACGTTGCTTAACTACGGTGGTCGTACAGGAACCGGTGTTCAAACTTGATGTGACCGTAAGGCATACCACACGCACATCCAAGCTTACAGCAACTGGTTTTCTCAAGCGGTTACCCATCTAGGTACTTACCAGGCTCGACGTTGCTTAACTTCAGTGATCGTACAGGAACCGGTGTTTTAACGTGATGCGGTTGTATGGAATACCACCTGCACAAACAAGTAGCATCTGATATTTTCAAGCGGTTACCCATCTAGGTACTGACCAGACACGATGTTGCTTAACATCTCTGATCGCACGGGAAGCGGTGTTTTAACGTGATTGAGCCGTAAGGCATACCACCTTCACATCCAAGAAGCAACTGATATTTTCAAGTGGTTACCCATCTAGCTACTGACCAGGCTCGACGTTGCTTAACTTCGGTGATATTACGGGAGCCGGTTTTTTAACGTGATGCGGCTAAGGCATACCACTTGCACATCCACTTGATATTTTCAAGCGGTTACCCATCTAGCTACTAACCAGGCTCGACGTTGCTTAACTTCGGTGATCGTACGGGAAGCGGTGTTTTAACATGACGCTGTCGTAAGGCATACCACCTGCGCATGCAAGAAGCAACTGATATTTTCAAGTGGTTACCCATCTAGCTACTGACCAGGCTCGACGTTGCTTAACTTCGGTGATATTACGGGAGCCGTTTTTTAACGTGATGCGGCTAAGGCATACCACTTGCACATCCACTTGATATTTTCAAGCGGTTACTCATCTAGCTACTGACCAGGCTAGACGTTGCTTAACTTCGGTGATCGTACGGGAAGCGGTGTTTTAACATGATGATGTCGTAAGGCATACCACCTGCGCATGCAAGAAGCAACCGATATTTTCAAGTGGTTACCCATCTGACCAGGCTCGACGTTGCTTAACTTCGGTGATCGTACGGGAAGCGGTGTTTAAACGCGATTTGTCCGTAAGCTCTTGAGGCAACAATAATGTGGTTCTACAGAGGAATGCTGCAAGAATACAAGAGACGGAGTAGATAAGCAATGACGAAGAAAATGGTAACAGAATCAGAAAGAATTTATCAGACAAATGGTGAGGAATGACTGCTCGCAGAAGCTGACAGGATATATTGAAGGGAAATGAAGACACGATTCTAGGATTTTTGCTCTGATTGTAAATTACAAATCAGGGATACCATAATCAAACAATTTAAATATCTAGTAAATGTTTTAACAGAGGACGGAACGCGCTACTCTGAAATCCGAAAGAGAACTGAAATATTCAAAGATGCCTTCCAAAAGCTAAACAAAGTATTAAGAAACAGAAAAACTTCGTTAGAAACCAACAAAGAGTACTAAATTAAAATCTATTTTCTTGCACTTCTCGCCTGTGGATCTCAATTCAAACTTCTTGCTTCCCTGAAAACTACAATCTTCAAAAAATATTGAAGGAACAGAAATGTGGTTCTACAGAAACATGATGAGGATTCCATTGACCGAACATGTGAGAAACGACGAGGTTTTTGAGAAAATGGAAGCAAAAAGGAAATTTGTACTTAACATCAGTAAGAGACAGTTGAAATTTCTAAGGCAGATAAGGGGGAAGGAGGGCTTGGCAAAATTGATACTCACAGGACAGATTGAAGGAAAGGAGGATAGAGGGAAACAATACATAAAATAAAGTGCTTGAGTAAATGGGTGGCCGGGCATGGTATTTTTGCAGCCCATATAAGGGCATATGTAAATCTGGCTTTGGTTGATTGAGAAGCAAATGTAGGATGCAGCGATGATGGGTGGTTTATTTTATTTTATTTTTTTTCATTATCTCACACTAATCAAGGCAATAAAGCCACTTAGACGCAAGGGTTACTGAGTGTGAAAGAATACGGGAAAAAATGAGTGTGGCCATAGAAACCAGCACTTACATTCCCGTGTGGATATAAGAAACTAGATTTCCTCTGCCGTGGTGCTTATATATCTAATTGTCATATGTTTTTCCCACGTGTGCATATCTTAGGCACAGCTAGATCGACCATGTGTTTACCTATCAGGGTCAGCCACTATCATCCCGTGAGGTCCGAATTTGCACTTGGTGGCTAGAAACCATCTATAGGATCAACACTGATTGTAGAATCTATTTCGGGGCGAGTCAGCTACGACAGGATAAGTAAGGTTCATTTCCATTGTATGGTATCTACAACCCCCCACCGGAAATAAAACCTAAAGACCACTAGCTATAAATGACTAAGCACACCTTCAAGCCTCTAGAGCTTTGTTCTTAAAAAAAAATTTAAAAGGCGGTCTGGATATATACCTATGTACCAATCAAAACTCTAACCAAGTCTACTGATATATAGACCTCCATAACCTATTATTGGTCGAGCACTGGTTCAAGACTCTAGTTTGGTGCACTAACTTCAGAGCTTTGTCCTTAAAAAGCTCATCCATCAAAACTCGAACTGACTCTGCTGATAAATGGAACCGCCATTATCTCTTATATTGTTACTTATGTTGAGTAATCTTTGCTCAAAGAAAAAAAAGCGGGAAAAATGTTCCAAAGGTTTTCTTCATAAGATTTGCAAGTCTGTTATTTTCTTAAAAGTTCAGACTGTGTTATTTGAGCCCCTGACGTAAAATAACCAACACCGAGTAAGTTCATTCGTGTAGCGAAGGAAGGGGTCGTCTGAAATTCGATTTTTTTAAAGTCAGTGATACGGCAGACATTTTGAATATTTAATGAGTTAAGGTTACCGAATATGTACAGTTTGCAGACAGGTCATGGGAACGTAGATCCTAAACTATGTAAAAATATATACAAGGCTTTCAGTGATTGAGTTCAGTAGAATCATTTTTCTCGGGGTTTAATAAAACTGGAAAATATTCAAGCCTTTATCAATCCCTCGCTCTCTCTATATACATTACAGTTCAAAAGTTTGAAGTCCCCCCACCAGAATTAGCATGGGATGAACTTGACAGAGGAATGAAAAAGAAAAGAAAAAGAACTCTTTGAGTAATTGAAAAAAAGAATGGAATCAATTATCAAATTTTTACTTTGTGAAACGTTTGCAAAGAATGATGAAAAATTGTGCTGCGGTAATCAAGGTTAAAGGAGGATAAGTTGACGGGAGCAAAATTTAATCATAAAATGGTTTTTATTCTTTTTCTCATAAAAAAATCATGTCTCACTTTTTTGCAACCATGTATAATAATTTTCTCTTATTTAAAGTACAAAAAAAAAACTGCTTTTGGGGCCAATTTAAAAAAAAAATTATCACGGGTTTCCTCGAACTTTTGAACTGTATTATATATACAACTTAAATACTTGTCCTAATAAACAACATATAGTTTTTTACTACTTGCACTCCTTGAAGATGATCTTTGAAGAAGATCGAAAGTACTTGGGAAATTAAAATAAAAGAAATTTAAACAGCTATAGTACATTTCTCTCATCCTTTAGCATCAATAAATGGACGGTTATTCGTGAGTATGAACGGATTTTGTTAAAAATTAGCAGACATAATGTCTGTAATTTATTCAAAACACACACACATATATATATATATATATATATATATATATATATATATATATATATATAATGTTTCATTAATAATATAGACATGTTTATTTATTTTTATAATGATCCTTTCTTGTTCTCTACTCAGTTTCTTGATGTTAAGATGAAATTCATCAAGGAAGGAGGCATAGTTTGTTATCTATCTCTCTATCTATCTATCTATCTATCTATCTATCTATCTATACATTTTTCTCACCGGTAGCACGACTCGGAGTTTCATGCATAACAGAATCTTCCTGACTGTATATTTATTAATATATACTTTATAGACTGTATATTTATTGATATATGTTTTATAGCTTTATTATATTCCATCAAACACTATTTTATTAGCCCCAGCTCTCAATGTGCGGTATATATATATATATATATATATATATATATATATATATATATATATTAAGCGTTTTACCCCAAGCAAGGTGGGAAGCCACTAGGACGCAAGGGGTTACAGAAAATTTGGAGCAAGATCAGATAGGGGTGATAGAGGAAAGGATGAGGAGAAGGATAGTGGATAGATCAAGGCAACTGGAGATGTTGATTGACATTATATTTGAATAGTTGGAGATTATAGCTCTCAGGGAAACTGAAATAGGGAAGGGAGTTCCACATGCGAGAGGTGCGAGACATGAAGCTATTGGAATAGAAGAGACGGCTACGTTTACGAGTTTCGACAGTGAAAGGGTGAGAGCGGGATGCCAGCCTCGTAGGGCGCTTGAACTCATGAAGTCTGGGAACCAGCGAATGCAGCTCCTCGGAGCAATTTCCATGAAAGTATTTGTAAAAAAGACAGAGAGAGGCAACGGCGCGTCTGTGAGAGATCGACTGTAGACGAGATGTCAGATCAGGGCCAATTATATTTCATATCCGCCTCTGGAGCTTATCAAGAACCCCGAGGCAAGCAGAAGGGGCTCCAGACCATATATGGCAGCAATACTCCAAAATATATATTGTAAAAGTAATAATTCATTGGTATATAATCAAAGTGGATCCTAGTAATATAAAATATTAAAACTGATCTACAAAAAGAGCTCAATGTATTTATTATTACAGAACAAATAATTAGTGCACAATAAAATAAAAAATTACAAATAATAATCGTATTTCAACCGACGAAATTTGACGCTCTTATTCAACCCAGGTATAGACTGAGTTCGTGTCGGAATTTATTCATTTCAGTGTTTCAGTCAGACGAAAGGCACGAGACAGTGGTCAAGAGAGAGTGGAAGGTATTAGTCTTAAAGGGAAGAGGTTTTATAAAATTAAACCTGGATATTAATCTCATGGCATTAAATTGGGTTTATATGAAGAATGAAATGTTAATTTGAAAGTAAGACAGAAATGAAAAGTGTGTTTTTTTTTTAAAAAAAACTTAATTTATATAGATAAAGTTACATTAATCAGTATCACCCCATGCAAAGCAGTAAAGACACAAGGGGTACACAGGGTATTGATGAATTAGGAACAGAAACATTAAAAATGAGCGAGAAGAGAAAAATATATCAGGAGGACAGTAGATAGCGATTGATATTGCATTTAAATTTTTAAACTTTTCTCCATTAATCATTTGAGAGAGCCCTCTCTGCCTTCCATTAGCATGGCTGATGCTAACCTCCAAGAAAGTGAACCGTAGGACCTTCTCAGGCTAACGTTCTCAGCTGACATGAAGTGGAAAGACTATATTGAATCCATTGCTCGGCCAACTGCTAAGAAAGTGGGTTCGCTGCGTCATGCAAGACAATTTTTATTTGGATCTATGCTGATGACACAGTCATTTACTCCTGCCTCCATAGTAAGGTTGGGCAGTCCGACAAGATCAAAATGGCAGCCGATGTCCAAAACGACATTATGTCCGTCTTTAACTAATTTTAGCGCCTCCAAAATTAAACTTCTCTCCATTAATCATCCGAGAGAACATTCCCTGCCTTCCATCAGCATGGCTGATGCTAACCTCCAGGAAAGTGAACCGTTGGGCCATCTCAAGCTAACTTTCTCAGCTGACATGAAGTGGGAAAACTATCTTGAATCCATTGTTAGGTCAGCTGATAAGAAAGTTGGTTCACTGTGTCGCGCGGGACAATTGGCCAGAATCTAGCTTACATATCTGTAAGTCTACTATTTATCCATGAATGGTAGACATTGCTGCCACATATGGTCAGCTACCCCTGCTATTTACCTTAAGCTCCTTCATAAAATCCAAAGAATCAGCAATTTTATTGGTCCTGATTTGGCGGGGCGGCTTCAATTATTTTCCCACCGCTGTAAGGTTGCTTCTCTGTGCTTTTTCTATGAATACTTTCATGGTAATTGTTCAAATGGGTTCTTCGCTATGGTACCTAGACATTTTTTTTAAATTTAAGGACAGTACTAGACTGGCGTGAAGATCTCATCAATTTACAGTTGAGCTGGCGAGATGTAGCCGTAAGTTCTATGCTAGCAGTTTCTTCTCTCACACTTTTCGCTTGTGGAAATCCCCTTCCGTCCCCATGCTTTCCAGCCAACTATAATCTGTAAAAATTTAAATGCAATGTCAATCGCTATCTACTGTCCTCCTGATTACTCTTTTCTCTTCCCGCTCATTATTAATGTTTCTGTTCCTAATTCTTCCACACCCTGTAACTCCTTGTGTCTTAGTGGCTTTACTCTCTTACTTGTGGAACCCCCTTTCGGTTCCGTGCTTTTCGGCCGACTTTAATCTGCAAACATTTAAATGCAATGTCAATCGCTATCTACTGTCCTCCTGAATCCTCTTTTCTCTTCCTGCACATTATTAATGTTACTTTTCTGGTACATCTCGCTTGTGGAACTCCCTTTCAGCTCCATGCTTTCCAGCCAACTTTGCAAAAATTTAAATGCAATGTAAATCGCTATCTACTGTCCTCCTGATTAGTCTTCCTTCTTCCCGTTCATTAATAACTTTTCTTCCTGATTCTCCCACATCCAGCCATACCTTGTGTCTTAGTGGCCTTGCATGAAGTGATTCAGATTTTATATATATATATATATATATATATATATATATATATATTTCTACATGGGTTATATTTAGGGCATACACGTGTCTGAGTGGACATCTCTGTATTTTAAACAGTTTAAACAAACATCTGCCTGTGAATTTGGGACTTTAAATAAAAGAAATTTGCAATTGGGATAGATAGATAGATAGATAGATAGATAGATAGATAGATAGATAGATAGATAGATAGATAGATAGATATAAATAAATATAAACAGAGATAGATAGATAGATAGATAGATAGATAGATAGATAGAATATGAACAGACAATAGATAGATAGATAGATAGATAGATAGATAGATAGATAGATAGATAGATAGATAGATACGAACAGATTGAATTAGATAAATATATAAATGGATATCTATCTATCTATCTATCTGTATATATATATATAAATATATATATATATATATATATATATATATATATATATAGAGAGGAGAGCGAGAGAGAGAGAGATGAACAGACTGGGATAGATAGATAGATAGATAGATATTAAGTGACTGAGACAGATATTTAGCGAACAGATTGTACTAGATAAATAGATGGATCTCTCTGTCTCTCTGTCTGTCTCTATCTCTCTCTCTCTCTCTCTATATATATATATATATATATATATATATATGGAGAGAGAGAGAGAGAGATAAAAGAGATCGTGAGATAGAAAGATAGATAAAAAACAGAATAGATAGATGGATATGTATCTCTCTCTCTATATATATATATATATATATATATATATATATATATATATATATATATATATATAGAGAGAGAGAGAGAGAGAGAGAGAGGGTGAGGCAGAGAGAAAGAAGAAAGAAATATATAGATAGATACATACATAGATAAGAACAGAATGAGATGGATAGATAGACAGAGAGATAGATAAGAACAGACTGATATATATATATATATATATATATATATATATATATAGATAGATAGATAGATAGATAGATAGATATGAATAGTCTACATAGATTGTAACTAATATATTTTCTCTATTATTCTTCCAAAGCTTCCATCTTTTATTTTCGGAAATATTCTTAATTAATTTACTATTTTCCAGTTATTTAGAATTAACAAATGAAAGATTTTGTTCCAAGTGTAACAGAGAAAGCTTCTTAAATGTCACTCACTTCATATCCCTTTATTTTGTGAATGACCGATAGGGGTGTCGGGTTGACTAAGGACAGTGAGGAGAGCAACACAAACACGCCGTTCAAAATTGGGGCATCAATGACGTTTGAACCTTGACCCTTGCGAAAAAGATTAGGGTCAGTCAGAAGAAAAAAGCCAAAATTAGACATGGCGCCGTCACACAGAAACGAACGAGAAGCCTCGTGACCAACAGGAATCAACGGGATTTCGCTAATATCTAATAGGATTTTAGACGCACAACAATAATTTAAGAGATGATCTCTTTTTTTTTCATACGATTTTACAAGCATGCGAGCAGAATGATTGTCAGAGATATACGGTATTAAATTAAATATATTAGCGTGAAGTATAATTGTCGACTAGCGACAAAAAGGCCAGTTAGCCTAAGCCATGAATTAATTTTCAGTTCCTCCCTCACTGGAAAGATTCACAAGACTGTCGACATTTACAAAACGAATTTTGGAATGTTCGACAATTATAGCTGACACGTTTCTCTCTTTCTCTTTCTTTTCTCTCCCTCTCTTTCTTTCTCTCTCTCTCTCTCTCTCTCTCTCTCTCTCTTCTTATCTATCTAATGGCAATTAACATAGGACAATAATGATTTGACAGCAGGATTTTTGTTGTACTTCGTTAATATTCGTTCCCACGTTTTAGAAAGCAGCCGATTCATAAGTTCGTATCTACAATAGAATCATTTTTAGAAAGAAATTATTAAGTAATGGATAGCGTAGAATCGTAGAATCGTAGACCCGAGTTCGAACTCCAGTCGAATCCATGACATTCACTTATGTACTAATATCCTTGGGAAAGGTATGAATGCTCGTCTTCTCCCCCCAGCTATGGTTAAATACCAGGACAGACCTTGTTTTATAGCCTTGGATGGCAACTGGTCTACTGCAGAAAGAATTGGCAATATACTAGGAAAAAAATCTGCCTCATCAGTCATGTATCGAAAGATACATGATCGCCTAAGTGTGTATCACGCATGGCACATCCATTGTATTCACTTACGTGCTAATATCCTTGGCACAGACCGGGTTCTAGAGCCTTGGATGGCAACTGGTCTACCACAGAAAGACATGGTAAACCTACTGCCTCGTCAGTCATGTATCGAAAGATACATGATCACCTCAGCGTGTATCATGCATGGCACATAACTGACTGACTGACTTTCCAGTCGAATCCATTACATTCACTTACGTGCTAATACTCTTGGGAAAGGTATGAATCTTCTTCTCCCTCCAGCTATGGGTAAATAGCAGAACAGACCAGGTTCTAAAGACTTGGATGGCAACTGGTCTACCGCAGAAAGAAATGGCAACCTACTGCGGGGAAAAAAATCTGCCTCGTCGAAAGATACATGACTGCCTAAGTGTGTATCACGCATGGCACACATAACTGACTGATTGTGTATAAATCCGAAACATCCGGGCAATAGAATATCGACTTCTTTCTCTTATTGACACTATAAATCCGAAACCATATGTTAATGAAATCATGAGTTAGTTTGGTTTGGTTTGTTTTATGTCATATCAATCTCAAAGAGTCGTTTAATGCCGACAAGATTTTTTTTATTGCTGGTAATATTTTGTTTTCAAGAAATGTATTGCTGGTAATTTTTTTTTTGTTCAAAAATGTATCGCTGGGAATAATGTATTACTGGTAGCAATTTTTCCTCAAAGAATTTATTGCTGGTATTAAAATATATTTTTACAGTTTCACAGTGTTTTGACCCCAGTTTGGGTGTTAACTATTTGCCCATAGTTGAGACCTAACAGGTGCTACCAACCTCGGGTCAGAGTGGACCTGGGAACACCAGCAATTAAGAGGTGGTTCCACGCTCCTCAAAACCTCATCAGAGGCCTTGCTGTTGGATGTAGTTTATCGTCTTACCCAGGACGCGGATGTAGCTTATCGTCTTACCCAGGACGCGGACGTAGTTTATCGTCAGACCCAGGACGCCACGAGTCAATTCTTTCTATAGTTGCTGACTATGAGAACAAAATGACTGTCATAAACGTATTCAATAAAATGTGCATTGTTAACATACGGACTATTATCACATTTCGACTATTATACCCTCTAGCCTTCATCAGGTGCTTAACCCACCGGGTAAGTTTCAATGAATTTAGAAATGAAGACTTAATTAAGCCACCGGTGTACATCTTTGTGTAAATTAATTGAAACAAAACGAATATTTCCGCTATCATATACTTTTTTTCGTATTTTTCCAATGAAACATGATCCAGTGCACATGTTAGTGCTTTGAATCTCATTCCACGAAGTTGTTTCTTGCAGATTGACCACAAATTCTCGGTTGGATTTAAATTAAGACAGTTTCCGGTCCAGTCTATAGGACTTTCATTTGATCACTGGTAAAGCTTGCCAGTGTGTTCGTGTAGCGTTACAATTTTCGTACGCTAACTTGAAGTAACGTCCATCGCAGACAATGGCCGTAGGACAACTAATCGACAGTCGAGACAATAGTGTCTGAGCATGGTAAAAATCTGATGCAATCAAGGATGACGCAATATTTTCCAAGGCCAAATAAATTTTACCAAACACTCTGAAAATAGATTCATATTACTGCACACCACTGCAAATGACCTAATCCATGGAAAAATAAAAGTCGATTACACCCTGTCACTCCAGTGGGTCTAAAACTGACTGTATGGTGAAAGAAAGGAAACGAAAGCGATTGTTTCAATTAATTTGCTCAAGGGTGTAGATTGTTTAGAAACATATCGTCAAGTTCCTATTTATTACAGGTCAGTTGTGACTCGCTTTAAGCCACTAGGCTGTTGTCGTGTGGGACAATCCAGAGATAAGATCTTGCAAGCTTAAAGCTATCCTGTCGGTTGATGAGTGTTTCCGGGTGTCACTTTTTGATGTATTCATTGATGCTTCTCTTACAAGATTAAATAAAGTGTCCAACACAAGGGTTAAATAAATGGTTCATTATATTAGGGTTAATGATAAATATACACTTTTTCCTCACCGGTAAGGCAAATCTGAGTTTCATGCGCGATGCAATCATCGGGCGCTGATTCAAAACTGATGCATGATTTAAATATTGGTATTTCTATCTTAATTGTACCGATAGTGTAGAAGTCGATTGATTTGCGGGAATAAAATAAAAGGACTCCCACGGAAATTAGACAAGTTTACAACGCAAGCAAACCCTCTTCAAGGGTACTTAAACTGTCTGGGGTACTATTGCTTGGAATATCTTTCCGCCGCTGCGCCATCACCATCTGACTAATCAAAGGTTATGGAATCAAACCTGAGAGCGATCCAACACCGACAACTTCCTAAAAAGGATATCCACAATTGCATGCATGCATAGATAGATAGTTAGTACAGTTGGTATGACGTTTGCCTGTCAATGTAGCAGTACGGGTTTCAATTCTCGGTAGTGGATGCGCACTGCTGATGAGTCCCAAATATAGTACGAAACGGCTGTCCAGTGCTTTCTGCATTCTGTTGAGGTTTCTTCTAGACTCGATTACTTAATTATCTCAAATCCTCTTTAATTTCTATCATTTATATATATATATATATATATATATATATATATATATATATTTCGATCCTGACTTGAGGCATTCGGATGTCTAGTCGCACTGTGGAGCTGTGATGCAGCGAAACAGTACTGTTTGCGAACCACACACACATATATATATATATATATATATAGTTGGATTGATGTGAGTTTGTGGCCCTGGGTTTCACGCTATTTGCGATCGCCAGAGTTTTGTCTGACCGTCGCAAAAAGGTGTGAATCCTCCTCTTCTTCCTCTACGGGTAAATAACAGGACAGACTGGGTTCTATAGCCTTGGATGGCAACTGGTCTAGGAGAAGGACAACTCTGAATTCAAAACCCGTGAAGGGTCGTTTGGGGACCCTGTGGCAAGTAGTGCACAAAGTCTCTGTATTCGGCCCCTCAATAAGTGTGGATGGTTCTGCACTAAACCCTCACCATTATAATCAAATCTCATCTGCGGGTGTCGGGTTGTCAGTTTCCTCTGAACTGATCTTCTTGACCCTCATACGTTGAATTTAACAGGAGAGTCGAGTATATCGTTAATACAAATGTAAAATTTGTTACTTAGCTGACTGATGTTGTATATATATATATATATATATATATATATATATATATATAGTTTACAGAAAAACAAATGGGCTAATTTACAGTTCAAAGGTCAGGTCTGGTGGCTAATTATAGAAATAAAACAGTGGATTTTTTTTTAAATAACACTGGACTTAAGTGACCAATAATTTGACCTCTGTTATTTTTTTAGACAATTTCATAGTTTTGGTTAATGGAAAAACAAAAAACAAAAACTTTGTTGGATTAATGAAAAAAAGTCTGACGCTATGTTTTCGTGCAATTAAATAGCCTCGTCACATTAAGACTTTCATATGGATGTCATTAATGGTGCCAAACCCGTTCAGAAATATCTGAACTGTCTACTGTAAACAACAGCTTTCTAGGATCCATGATTAACAAGGTATTCGAGCAAAACATGTCGTTTTAGCGACAATCATACTTCTTCGAACTTTATGGACTGTCGCTACAGAATTACAAACAAAGAACTGTACCAACTAACAGAAACCACATCACTTAAGGACTTTCAGTTTTAGCAACAACTACAATGGATAAAGTTTTCTCTAAGAGAAAAGAATGACATAATCAAGAGGTTGATATTCCACACTACTTTGAACAAAAGGTTGGTAAGGAAACCCAAACATTAGTAGGAAGGGTAACAACAGTTAGTGGGTTTGAGAAACCTTTTTCCCTGGTTTAATAGAAAAAAAATTATAAATTCAACTGATGGTAACACTGGCTGCTCGGTTCGATGAATGCTGAATGTTTTCTTATAAGGAAACATAATATTTTCATTGCCCTTAGAGATCAGAAGAACAGATGCTACACTTTGATCCCAGTCCGATGACCAGGGAGTGAAGAAAAGCGTAACTTGGGCATTGAATGCTTAATATATCCTTATAAGGAAACGGGTAATATTACTATTAGCTTTAGAGATGATGAGAACAGATACTACACTTTGATCACAGCCAAGTAACCAGTCTTTCAAAATAGGCCAAATGTTTCCTTATAAGGAAACGGTTAATAATACCATTACC